AGTCAGGGTGCAGTGTAGCAACAATGAGACATACAACTTTCCTCTAGTTCTTAAATGCTTCTCTTACCCCACCCCACTATCATGATCTCATTCTACCTTACAAATTTGGCTAGACCAGAGGATATACACTGGTACAGATAGGAACTGGAAACACAGGGAATCCAGGACAGATAAACCCTTCAGGACCAGTGGTGAGAGTGGCAATATGGGAGGGTGGAGGGAAGGTGGGGTAGAAAGGGGAAACTGATTACATGGATCTACATATAACCCCCTCCCTGGGGACAGACAAGAGAAAAGTAGATGAAGGGAGACGTCGGACATTGTAAGACATGACAAAATAATAATTTATAAATTATCAAGGGTTCATGGGGGTGGGGAGAGGGGAAAATGAGGAACTGATACCAAGGGCTCAAGTAGAAAGAAGATGTTTTGAGAAGGATGAGGGCAATAAGTGTACAAATGTGCTTGACACAATGGATGGATGGATTGTGATAAGAGTTGTATGAGCCCCCAATAAAATTAAAGGACAAAAAAAAGAGTTAGTCTCAGAAACTCATAGGGGTAATTCTACCCTGTTTACTGAAGGGTAGTGAATTTGGGTTTGGGTTGATTGCAAACTGAACAATTGCTACTTTGTTCACTTGGATCCCTGGTAGTGTAGTGGTTACAGTTTGGGCTGTGATCTGAATGGCTGGCAGTTCAAAATCACCAGCAGCTCCAATGGAGAAAGACTGGGCTTTCCATTCCTGTGAACAGTTACAATCTCAGAAACCTGCAGGGGGTCCCTATGAGTCAGCATTGCTTCAGTGGCAATGAGTTCTGAGAAGTCAATCCCAGGAGGGTAGGTGTAGGTCAACTCTTCTTGGCCGATTCTGTGATTCTCATTCAGAGAGATTAAGTGCAGATAGAGTCTCCTGTACATCTTGCAGAATCTGAATGGAACAAGAGACTGAGGGTAATATGCTAGAAGATGAGGACTAATTAGGATGGTAACTAAATTACATGTGTTTAACATATGTTTTGAATGGACAGCTTTAACCCTCACAACCCTGCTATGGTGTAGATAGTAGGCATTATCTTGATTACAAATGGGGAAACAGTAACAAGCAAATAGTAAGTGGATAGGACAGACAAATTCCAGAGCCCAGGTCACTAAACCCTCTCCCTAGGTTCCTGGATCCACTGCCAGAACCATCTGGGAGGGCTTTGTGTATGGATTGGTTGGGGTTGCTGAGCAGTGTGGCTTAGGCTTACTCTTCAAGGGAGCTTCCTCCAAAAGGTCAGGAAAAGCCCCAGGGCATCCATGGCAGGTCACTCCCTACCCTCACTCGAGCAGAGTGGATTAAATGATCTAATTATGGAACTGAATAAGTTACATAAGATTCTATAAGGTGCACAAATGAAGGTTGCATGTCAGCGTTTAACCCAACTAAACCCAGTGAATCTTCTTCCTCTTGTCTTCTGCCTCAGGGCTTCCCTACTCTTGCTGCCCTTACAGATTCAGGATGTTGGGCTGAGCTCCAGGTCTCAGAGACTGGTGAGTACTACAGCCCTCCATCTCCAGCTGGACGAAAGGACCCCCGATCTCAGAAATCATCCAAAACAAATGGTCAGCAAAATCAGAAGAAACACCACTCGTCAAGAGCCACAAGGGCTCCTTATTCCTTTAAAAACATCTCCATGACTTGGAAAACTCTCTCGGAATGTGTGTTCTTGCTGTATTACAGAAGAGAGAAAGAATTCTACTGAAAACAGATGTGATATGTTTGATTTTCTCTGATACCCTGAGCTGGAAAAAAAAGAAAGAAAAACCAGAAAAATTACCAAACATGACAATGATCAATCATACTGGGGTTAAATATAAGAGTTCAGAGTTTCAAAACGCTCAGTTTGGAAGGAAGCCTTTGAATAATAAAGCATAAATTGTGTCGCAGTCATCAATGTAAGAAACCTCCAGCTATGTCCCAAGGCCTCAGTGTCTAGGATTCTTTTCCCCACAAAATCCCTCAAATGAGCTTTAAATATGCAAAAAATGGTTATAATTTATGCAGGAAAGTGAAACTGTTAACAGCTTACTCAACCTACCATTCTAGCAAAATGTGTGAATATTATTCCTGTTTTGCAGCTCAGCAGAGGGCCATGGCGGATGAGGGTTGTCACCCTGGGCCTCTAGCATCCAGTTGTGCAATGACATGAAATCTACTATCCAGTCTCTGCAAAAGACACCAGATGATTCTCCGGATTTGAGAAATCTGGAAGCTCAAAGCCAGAGGCTGCTGGCAGATGACAGCTAGCTGGGGCCATTTCTCCACTGCAGTCGTTTCTGTACAGGACACAATCTCCGGTGTGGGATCTGAAGTTTTCTCCTTCTGGTGCCTTGTTTTCTGGCACTCCATCGCCATCTCCACCTCATAGGCCAGATTTAGATCATTAACTAATACATTCTGTATCTTTATTGTTCTTTTTGAAAAATAGCGAATACTCTGAGTTTGAACACAAGCGTTGTACTTTGACAAGCAATTCTGGAGCTCTGGGCAGAAACGACCTCTCCTTACGGATTCCCTTAACTCGGAAACAACAAAACCAGCTCCCCCCAAATGTTTGCCAGGATCCCCCAATCCCAACAGCACTTTTATCTGTTATCCTGTTCTCTTCTTCCTGTATCCAGGCTGCCCTCATTTCCATAGATGGGTGAAATCTTTTTCACTTTCTCAGCACTCCCAGGGGCAATTTCACTCCGAAATTTCCCTTTCCCCATCATTTTGACTTTACCTTTCAGGGGGCAGAATGACTAGGGAACTGAATGCCTGTCCTCTCCTGATTAATATGACGTAGGAACTTTGGACATCCTCCCTCCCCCCACCTGCCCTCTTTGATTCTAACCCTGATTCCTAGAGAATTACAGTATCCCTCTTAATGCTCCATGATTACCAGCCAGGGTCGGAGCAGGCGGGGCCGCGGAGGCAGCGCCGGGGGAGCCGATTCTAATCTCCGAGGAGCTTCAGCTGCCCGCGTCCAGGGAGACGCTGCGGTCCCGGGGAGGCCGCTCGCAATGCTGGCTTCGCCGGCGCGGCGGCAGCTCTGGCGGAGGC